CAACTTTGATAACTAATTATTTATTCAGTTAAGTTCACATATGTTAATTCTTTATGATAAACCCCTTGAGATGAACCACCTCCTGTATTGCATGAGAGGGGGTCCTAACATACAATTCACAAACCTCAAAAAAGCACCAACCACTAGATGGCCACAGAGAGGCTGTGAACAAATACTACCCAGCAAAACTAACATAATGCATAGACAGAAAATTAACTCTTTTGTATACTGTATACAGACGTTATTCTAAAGATAGGAAGACACACTATATTTAAACATGTTATGGTTCTTGTGTTTGAAGGCAAGTTGTTCCAGTCGGAAGGAGCCTTAAACATAACGGCTGTTTTACCGATTGCTTTTCTGACCACAGGGATGAAGAAGTATCGTGTTGAATGCCTCAAATGATATACTGATGAACATGCTACCAGAATGATGTGAATGAATGAATGAATGTGTCTTCTTATATTGGTGGAGGCCATTTAATGGAGTGATATATTAAGCAGCGATGAGTACCATAGGAAGAACCAAGGACTAAGTCTACAAAGATTATTGTACACTGTGTTGAGCAGCAGGAGGTTAGTTTCACACCAGCATAATCAAAAAACTGGTAGTATGAGTTTCTTCTGGACACTAAGTGTAGAACAGAAATAGAGCACCGGCTCCAAAATGAACTTTGAGTAGAACATGATCAGTGTGATGTTTAAATGTAAGTTCAGTGTCAAGCCAAAAACCCAAGGACTTACTTTGATCAACTCTGTGCAGAATAGGACCAACATACATTTCCTGGCCTCATCCTCTCTTTTGTTGTGGATTTATAGTTTTTCTCTCTTTCACATCACTGTGCACGGACACTGAATCTGACTGTTGGTCAGACTGAACAGTTGGAAAGCATCAGTCTGGACTCTCAACCAAACATGCTGTGCCATTTATAGATCTGTAATTTATATACCTGTGATAGAGTTTATGTATACACTCAGTCTAATGCAATCCAATACAAGTGCTCTGCCATAAAATCAACTTTTATGATGCCTATAATATTATGTAATTATATGTTTTAACATTAGGGACATAGTAACTGTACTGAGAGCTGTTTGTACTTCTCTGCTCCACCCCTCATGTATGTGATAGAAACACATCCCTATATATATATATATATATATATATATATATACCAAATGCAGACTAATCCACCACTGGACTATATATATATATATATATATATAGTCCAGTACAACACCAGCTATAACACATACTGTAACTGAGTTTACACATTTCCAACATCAACAAGAACTGAACTGTATGAATTTCTTAAATTTATGGCTGAGCTGTGGTAATAAAGCAATAAAGTAGTACACATATTTACATATTTTTTTGCTTTTATTCTTTTTTCTTATTAATAATAGTGACAATCTGTGTGTGAGTGTGCGTGCATGTGTGTTCTCATATGACTGTAATAATAATCCAGATTATTTCATTACATGTTCTAAATGTTGGCTGTTAACCTCGGTGCTTCTCAGTACAATTAGCTCCCTGCACTCCTGCTGCCTTATATCAACATTGTGACTGTTTCCAATTACAGCCACCTCTCTAAATGAAATTAAACATCTCAATATTGCTGATATATTGCCAATATATTACCAGTATTAATTACAGGATCTGTAGCTGTGATCTGTAATCAGAGGAGATGAATCGTGCAGCCCAGCCATCCGTTCACCCATCACTCCCTCCTCTCCCTCCCTCCCTCCCTCCCTCTCTCTCTCCCCAGAGTCATTTGTTAACAAGGTGGCCTTGCTCAGCCTCTTTCTCTCTCTCTCTCTCTTTCTTGCACACACACACACACACACACTCAGAGGGGTGTGTGGCCAGCTGTTAGGGTGTGTGTGTCTAATTCCTGTTGCATTGTGGGAGTCCATTATGCTGTCGTCTGGTGAATGGCTCCCATTGACTCGGCCTTGACATTATAAGCTGCCCGCTAATCTCTTCACTCCATATATTAGTAAGGCTCGATCTCCCCGTGTCTCTGCCGCTTTTCTCACTTTTATCTTATTCTTGTCCTCTCTCTCTAAAATCATCCATTTAACTGCCACTTTTTCTCCATCTGTTGTTTTTTTTTTTTTTTAAATATCTCTTTAAAAGATAAGTATGTTGATATTTTATATGTTTATTATTTTCAACAAATGGCATGAAAACATGCAGCCCAGCAATGAATGTGTCCTAATAACTAATAATGTGTGTGTATCCAAGCGTGATGTATCTTATTCCTCTCGACCATAGAGCTCCATTATCGTCCAAAAACTATTAAAAATCCATCAGCCACACTATTGCACAGTGACATATCCCTTCATTACCATCAACACAAACCGTAGTTTATTTAGATTCATTAACAGATACACCATCCTGCTGCCGGGAATCCTGACTAGAGAAACCAAATGCAGACTAATCCACCACGTGAGCAGGAGGGAAAGGTGTGTTTGGCTGTTCAGACCGTAGACTGTGAATAAAGATGGACGTAGCCTCCATGACATCACCCACAGGTTTCTGAAGAGCGGTTTTGAAGCTCGGAGTGGGCTGCTCCACTGATGCCATCTTGGCAGACTCACAAAACAATGACTTTGTCCTACCTCTGCTTTTTATGACTGTTTGAATAACTTTGCTGAAAACTACAGTGAAATTACTCAACCTTTCAAAAAATCTCTTTATAAACTTTTTTTTGTTTTTTTTTAGATTTGGGTGGAGAAGCACAAAATCATTTTCGTGCTTCTTCCCCCTTCACTGAACTTTTTTGCTTTCTGTCTTGGTTTGTCTCACAATATTTTTGAGAATCCGTTGCCTGTTTCTTTCACTCTCCACAGTATTACCATGGGTTTGCCCCTCAACCCGCCAGCGGATTCAGCTCGCTCTGCTCGCCACGCCCTCTCTCTTATCGCCACTGCCCGGCCGCCTGCCTTCATCACCACTATTGCAAGAGAGGTGAGACTGTTCTGTTCAAATATCTTCACAAACAGACAAACGGCAGCTTCAAAAAGTCGTCAGTTTCCACTTTCACTTCATCATACTTTGACACAGGCCAACTTGGTGTCTGTATTGTATGAAGGCAAAGTTCTTGTATGGTCACATGTGTTCACACATTGAACAGTTAAGGTGACATAAAAAAGGCTTTTTGTAAAAATAAAAAAAGTCTATATATGTCAAAGTATCAAAAATAAATAAGTAAAAATTAGTTTTGGTATCCAAAATTATTGTGGAGGCATAAAAAACTTTACTTAAACATACATGTCTACCCAATTTAATGTATCTCTGTCATGTATTTTTATATACATACATCACTCCCCAGTAATAAGAGATATGTATATATTAATGCATATATGTTTTTGTGTTCAGGTTCATCGATACAACGCAGCGCAGGCGAACTCTCAGTCACAGCAGAACGTTCACACCACCACTCTGGCCCGAGCCAAGACGGAGATACTGCGCGTGATTGACATTCTGATAGAGAAGATGCCTGGAGACGTTGTGGATCTACTGGTCGAGGTAAAAAACATTTCAAATGTTACATAACTAATAATGAACAAAGACAGCATTCTCCACAATCCTAATGAGGAAGGTACGCATGCATATTTTAGATTTTTACGGAAGGTGTTATCTTGAGATAACAGAACTGTGTTTTCTCGAGATAACACCTTTATCTCAAGATAATCAATAACGGAGCTTTGTTTTCTCAAGATGATCATTTTTGATTATATATTTATTTTTTAATTATTATTAAATAATTAATAATTATTAATAAGATAATTATTCTGTCATCTCAACATAGCAAAGCTCCATTATGTGAAAATAACAGAATAATTATCCTATTATCTCGAGATAACAAAGCTCCATTATCCATTATCTTGTGATAACACTGTAATGTCGAGATAACGAGATAATTATTCAGTTATCTCAAGATAATGAAGCTCCGTTATTTCGAGATAATGGAATTATTATGTCGTTAACTCAAGATAGCGGATAACAGAGCTTTGTTTTCTCAAGATAATGGGATAATTATTCCATTATGTCGACATAACAGAGCTTTGTTATGTCGAGATAATGAAATACTTTTATTAAATACTTTTATCTTGAGATAACTGAATGATATAAGATGAGATATGAGATAACAGAGTTTTGTTTTCTCGAGATAACGGGATAAAGAAATACTTGCGAGATAGCTTTTCTCAGCTTCCTGTAATGAAACCTCTTGGGAAAAAGACACGTACTCTCTCTCTCGCTCTTCTTCAGGTGATGGATATCATCATGTACTGCATCGAAGGTTCTCTGGTGAAGAAGAAAGGACTACAGGAGTGTTTCCCTGCTATCTGCAAGTACGTGTGTATATGGGTGTGTTAACAAGGCCCCCCTACATTTCCTTATAAGGTCAGTGGGGGAGTGAACTGGGGAGGAGTTAAGGCAAGTTGACCCCTGGGTGTCTGTGCTGATGTCAGAGGTCATCTGCCTCGGGGCATGTGGCTGGCAACTTAATCTGTGTGTCAATGTGTGAATATATTTACGTGTCCTTCCTGCCCCTTCCTGGCCTCAACATATCCATAATGTTTGTGTTTCAGGTTGTATACATGTTTACATAAAAGTGAAAGATAAAACAGTGGAGGTCATGCCTTGTATTTGGGGCGTTACCCAGTCCACCTCGTCTTGACTACAGCTGGTGCAGAACGCTGCAGCCAGACTGTTAACTGATATCAGGAAGAGAGACAGTATCTCCCCTATACTGGCATCCCTGCACTGGCTACCAGTCAAATACTGCATCAGACTCAAGGTTCTTTTCTTTGTTTTTAAGGCCTTACGTGGTCTGGGACCCGAGCATATCTCTGAGCTCCTCTGCACCCTCTCCATCCCCAGATCTCTCCGATCTTCAGACCAGCTGCCCCTTGGTCAAGGCTAAGGGGAAAGGCTGGTCGGGCTTTTGCAGTAGCAGCCCCAAAACTTTAGAACAGTTTACCCGTTTTAATTAAGTGTTTCCCCGCCGTTAAGGTTTTAAAGACTGAACTTTATACCCACATGTTCTCTTTGTCGTTTCTCTAAGGTTTTATCTATCACTTTTATCTCTTGTATCTTTATTTTCAAACTGTCTCAGACTATGGGATAGCTGTCATTATGTCGTGTGTTTTTCATTGCATATTATCGTACAGTTCTTTGGTCAACTCTGGTTGTTTTAAATGTGCTTCACAAATAAACTTGATTTCGTAAATTGTATCTGTCGTCCACTTCCTCAGGTTCTACATGGTCGGTTACTGCGACCGCAGTCACCGCATCGCTGTAGGAGCTCGTCAGGGTTCGGTGGTCCTCTACGACGTTCGTACTGGAAAATGCCAGGTTCGTTCAAAACTTCACACCGCTCACCTCAGCAGCTCTGTTGTTCTGTCGCAATGGTTTTACCTGTTCATCAGTTCTATCCATCCATCCATCCATCCATCCATCCATCCATCCATCCATCCATCCATCCATCCAGCCAGCCAGTGCTACATCCATCCAGTCACAAATCTCTGAATGGATCATCTATCAATTTCCCCATTTCTCCATCTTCTCGTTCATCCTCCTGTCTTTTTTTTGTCTTTCCATAAATCATCGATCATTAGATTCATCTGTCTAACTCTCTTTTAATCTGACCATTTGTTCCTTACCCATCTTCCAATTTTTCTATCCATCCATGAAAATGACTGACTACCTCCTTTGAGAGGAGAGTAGAGGAAGAAATGAGAGGGAACAAGAGGGGAGAAGTAACGAGGGGTGTAAATAAGGGGAAATGAGAGAGGAGGAGAAAAGACGGAGGGAAGGAGGAGAGGAGTTTCATTGCCCTGACTTATTTTTTTTCCTCAGCAATTGATTAATGATGAAGCGATGACTCTCTTAATCATGTTTTTGTCTTTGCACACGTTTACGTTTGATTGTGTGTGCGAATGTGTAGTGTATGTGTGTACTACCTGCCTCTATGTGTGTATGTGTGTACTTCTGTGTGAGTGTGTGTGTGTGTTGGTAATTTGCTGTGTATTGATTTGCAGTAACCTGAGCAGTCTAGTCTGGTGGAGGGGGTCATTTATATCTGATAACAGCACTGGCCCCTGTTCACCCAACATCTAGTTTGATCGTGTGTGTGTGTGTGTGTGTGTGTGTGTGCGCTTGTGTGTTTGTAGGTGTGTGCTTGTAGGTGTTTGTAGGTGTTTATGTTTGTGTGCACGGCGTAAAGACAAGAGACGCTTTCCTTTGTGCGTTATTTGGAATAATTAACATTTAATAGATAATGGCTTTGCGGGAAGTGTGTGCGTGTGTGTGTGTGTGTCTGTGTGTGTCAGTACTGGAACCATTTCAAGTGTTTAATTTCAAATGTAAGATAAAGCTATCATCTTTATTAATAGGCCGGGTATCTTTTAGGTTTTATTAGTTCTGATTCTTCTTATTGATTTTGGTGCTTATTTCTAACTTCCTTGTGTCTCTGAGTCATGGACAATTACTTCAACAAGAAAAGGAACCAAAGTATGTCGGAACAACATTTTTGGCAAATTTTGCTGCTGTATAATTTTGTTGTAATGGTGACAAGGCATCCTGTCAACAATCAGGCAACATTAGAGTGTGGCCATCAGGCAGAGCAACATGCAAATCCAATGACATTCCCTTCAGACGTCCCTCTGTGTTTAGTACTAATTAGGAAATGTTAGCAAGCAAACACATTAATCTGGGATGGTGAACGTGCTAGATAAATTTTATACCCACTAAACATCAGTGATCCATGTTAGCATTTAGCATACAGTACTGCTGAGCTTAAGCACAGCCTCACAGTGCTGTTGTCATGGCTGTGGACTCGTTACTGTGAAGCAGCTACCTGTAGCTTTGATCTACAACATCATCAGCTCCTTGGTTCATACTCTACAGAACAGGAGAGGGCATCAATCTGTGCCCTTTTTCCAGCAGGTCGGGTTTGAATATCAAAGTGACCATCATTGACCTTCTGTGGTTGTGAAAGATAGGTTTACAAACTTTATAGTGTTCTCCTTCACAGAGAACAGCAGCTGTCAGTTTGTATTGATGACATTAAAGTTCCTCTCCAGACATGTTTTAAACTGATGATGATTAATATTCTGTTTAACATGATTTTCACACGAAAAACAAAAATCAGGCAAAAGTCAAAAACTGTAAACACATCTAGTACAAAGTATCTTCATTGTTCCTTACAGGGAAATTAATTTGCAGCCAGGCTACACTAAAACACATATACAAAGAGACACATAGCACCAACACTCTACTCTTACTTCCTGATTGAGAAATGTGGATCAGGCTTTGAGTCCCGCCCACCACCTCCTTGCTCCAGGTGTACAGGTGAAAGAGTAGAAAGTATCGAGATGGTTAGAGGAGGAGACATCAGAGAGCCTCAGTCAGACCCAGACTCAGATGAGGAGTCTGTTGACACCAGAACCAGAGACTAGCAGAGAAATCAGAATGGTTAGCATAGTTAGCATCTTTTATGATGTTTGTTAGCTTGTAACTGGCAGTGGCTGACAAGGTGTTAGTGTTAGTGGTTGTTCTAATGCTAACTTTCTCTCTGTACTGACAAGGTTTCAGATTGATTTAGCCCCGCCCCCTGCTCCCACAAGTTGACAGGATTGGTTCCTTAGGTTTGTGGCGTATGAAACCCTGGCTGTCTGAATCTGTTTTTATGAGACTGTCATTGGTTCACTGCAGTTCAAGGTGGAAACACTCAGTCATGGTGTTGATGATTATTTCACTCATCATATGTCTTGTATTATATAATGTAATATGTGTATATATATATATATATATATATATATATATAGTATATATATTTGCCGCTGTGTCGCAAAGCACGGCTCCTGTTGCCTAGCAGCCTTGACCACACGTAACTTTATTTGACAAAAACTTGAAGTTTTAAGGCCCCTGGCTTTAACAGTTGTACCATTAGCTGTTGAACTGAGCTGAAAGACAATACATACATTTAACAGTGGCTCTGTGTCAGTGTTGTCTGCTCTCATTACCAGCACGCAGTGAATCTTGGTATAGGACAGAGCTAAGGTTAAACACTTGATTTTCATCAGTGTGGGGCTTTAAAGTAAATTCCACAACAGTTTTCACTGTGTAAATAAAGTTTTAACACATTTGTAGAATTTCTCAAACCACTTTAGGGAGATCTGGATAAATAGCAACATAACATTATCTTAAAACCATCTACTCCTTTTTAAAATCAGTCAATATAAAATCTGTATGATGTTCTTAGTCAGCAGGCAGATTAATTGCACAACAAAACCAATAAATTTAGGAAGATGGCTCCAGCTTTTTGTAATTTTATGTGAGATCACATGTTACTGATGTAGTTAAAAGTGGTATCAAAACAAAATTTATGGACCAGATTTGGGGAAATAGGAAATGCTAAATGAATGGTTTGATTCAATTCATTTGTACTTGATAGGGAAGGGAAGGGAAGGAGAAAAGAAATGTGAGATGGCCTGGAGGAGGGATGATGGGTTAGAACGAGGAAAAGAGACATAAAGAGATGATTGAGGATGGGAGAAATGAAACAAGAAGGAAGGTGAAGAAAGAAAAGTATCAGGAGGAGAGGAAGAAGATGAGCATTTTTGTTCATAATCCATCTTTGTGTGTGTGTGTGTGTGTGTGTGTGTGTGTGTGTGTGTGTGTGTGTGTGTGTGTGTGTGTGTGTGTCCAGCCGTAGCTAGCTAGTCCCTGCATGACCATCTGCCACAGCTTTGATCAGCCTCCGTGAACAGTCCTTTGTCAGCTGCATTACTCTGTGTGTGTGTGTGTGTGTGTGTGTGTGTGTGTGTGTGTGTGTGTGTGTGTGTGTGTGTGTGTGTCCACCTGCTTGCTCTGCTTCTTTAACAGACTCTACTGAGTCTACTAATTGAACACAAAGAAACAATCTGACTGATCTTTCTCTCTGTCTGCATCTGTTTCTTTATGTAACCACTGAAACCGGAGAGAACGCTCTGTAACTGAAGGTGTAGCTCTGCCTCAGGGTTAGCTCCTCCCACTCTACATCCTATAAGAAGCCAACCAAGTGTATCCAGGACATAAGCTGAACAATAACCTATACTTAAGACTGAAGCTAAATTTACAGTGGCTTCCAAAACTATTCTAACTCTTTCCGTTTTGCACATTTTATTGTGGTGCAGGTTTAAATGAAAAATGTTTCCCCGTCAGTCTACGCTCAGTAACCCAAGTTTGGACCAAGTTTTTTTAAATTAAAAACAGAAAACTGAAATCTCTCATTTACCAAAGTATTCAGACCCTTTGCTGTGTTCTCTCCACACTGTGGCCATGTGCATCCTGTTTGCTTTAATTATCACTGAGATGTGTCTACAACTTGACTGGAGTCCACCTGTGACAAATTGAATTGATTGGACGTACTTTAGAAAGTCACACACCTGTGTAGAGGTCAGGACAAAAAAGCAAACCATGAAATCCAAGGAACTCTCTGGAGGCCTCCATGATGAAACTGTGGCGATGCAAAGATCAGGGCAAATGTATCAAACCATCTCTAAAGCTTTGAGTGTTCCCAGGAGAACAATGGAACCTGGTAAGAAGGGCCTTGCTCAATGATATAACTAAACATCCAACAGTCACTCTAGAGCTTCAGTCGTCTTCTGCAGAGATGGAGAAGCTGCTGGAAGGACGAACATCTCTCCAGCATCAATCAGGCTTTTATGGTAGAGCGGCTAAACGGAGGCTACCTTGACTCAGCTTGGAGTTCACCAAACTGCATTTAAAGAAAATGATTCTCTGGTCTGCTGAGACAGAAATGTAACTGCATGGGCAGAACTCCGAACACTATGTCTGACGAACGCCAGGCACTGCTCATCACGCTAACGCCATCACTACGGTGAAGCATGGGGGGGGGGGGGGGGGGTCTTGTAGGCAGCAGCGACAGGGAGACTGGTCAGAACTGAGGGAAGGATGAATGCAGCCAAATACAGAGAACAGAGAAAATCTGCCCCAGCGTGCACGTGACCTGAGACAGGCGTGACGGTTCACCTTTCAGCACAACAGTGACCTGAAGCAAACAGCCAAGACGACGCTGGAGCGTCTCAGGACCGGTCTCTGACTGTGTTAATGTCCCGGCCGGAGCCCAGACTTAAAGCCCACAGAACGTCTGTGGAGAGACCTGACGATGGCAGGTAGCAGTCACTTCTCCTCCAGTCTGACGGAGTGTGAGAGGATCTGCCAGAAAGAGCGGGATAAACCAAATCCAGGTGTGCGGTGCCTGTAGACGCTCACCTGAGAAGACTGAAAGCTGTAGTTGCTGCCAAAGGGGCTTCTGGAAAATAGTGAACAAAGGTCTGAACACTTTTGTAAAATGAGAGATTTCAATTTTTGAGTTTTAATGAATTATCATATATATATGATATATTTATACTTTCATCCAAAAAATTCAGCTCCTGCAGTTTTTTGCGATTTCAATTATATTTAAATAAAGTATAATAAATAAAGTATCTATCTATCTATCTATTTATCTATCTATCTATCTATATGTATACATACTTTCTACAAGTTAACGTAAATCTTATTTACAGAGGAGGTGGGGCTAAGAGCTGTCAGTCATGGGGAATTGAACTAAAATAGGAAGAGCCTTCTGTATGCATACACACACACACACACACACACATACACACACACACACACACACACACACACACACACACACACACACAGTCGAGTCCCCAGGCGTCAGGTGTATTGAAGTACAGAGTGCTGTAAATGGTTTCAGTGTGCTTCACTGCTCGCTGATAGGCTGATTGATTTGGTAGGCAGTCCACCATGACACACACACACACACACACACACACACACACACACACACACGTTCACACATACAGACCCTGATTATAATATATATGAAAGCATCAATGTTTGATGCACATTAAACAGTTCATCTCTGCATCCTGTTTCTTTTTGGTCCCTCTCTTCTATATTCTAAACACTGTGAACACAGTTGAATGTAGTAATTCATATTGTGCTGCTCTGATTGGACAGTTTTTATGTTACTGTTAAGTACAAAACTGGTCTTATATGTCAGTGTAAGTGAAGGCATTGTTTTGTCTGCCACTGGAGTCCTTTTACATGTTTGCAGGTTTTTTTCTTTATATATAAATGAATTAATAACTTGATGCATTTAAAAAGCCATTATACATTAATTTCATTACTTTTGCATTTAATGATGCATTACTAAACTCATTACTAATGAATTCATAGTCAAATTAAAATTAAAATTAAAAATACATTTTTAAGTTATTGACTGTAACATTCCATCTCACTGACTTGGCATTTACAGTTTCCATATTGTGATCACTCTCATTTAAACATGTAGCACGTAAACATTAAACAAGGTCCAACCCACAGAGCAGCACAAGGAGCTCTGATTGGCCAGTTGTTATGTGTGGGTCAGCACCGGGGAGATGTGTTTTGGTGTGCGACTCCGATTGATGCTCAAGTTTCCATAGAATTCCAAAGGATCATTGAATTATTTTGATAGAAGTGAAGGCTGTAAGCGTTTTGAATGAAGTCTCAGATATGAAGCAGCTGTTCACTTGAATCCTCTGCTCATTGCCCGTCTGAAATGTCTCAGTACTCAGAAAAAAGTTTCCAAAAACCAAAGTTGTGGATCTGCTGGATCACTCTGGTAGTTGCCGCTCAGGTTGAAGGAGGGAGTCAATCCCTTCCTCATCTCTTTGGATAATAAGGTGTGTTAAGACTTCAGTTATCGAGATTTTAAAAACTGGACGTTTTTCAGTTTGAGCTGATGAACGTTTGCAGACAGACTGTGTCCTCTCTTTCAGCCTTTTGATCATTTTACCTTTAACAATGGGTGATGGGAAATGAGATTCGGGATCTCGCCAAAGAGGAAATAATGGATGAGTAAGACTGATGGAGGTGAAAGATGGATAGAAGGTGAAAGAAAGAAATGAAGGGATTCTTCAGGAGAGAGAGATGTTGAAAAGAAAGAGCGGCAGGGTGGAAGGCTGGAAAGAAATCTTTTTTTTCTCGGCCAACACTGCTGGAATCTAATAGGATTTCCCCCAAAAAGGAGGAGGGAGAGAACGAATTAAAAAGATGAGATTTTTATTTCATCGCGTTATTATTTTTTTCTGCTTTAATCGCCACAGACGGGTTATTATTTCAGGGTCTGGGCGCCTGAGGCGACGCGTCTTAATCTCATCTGGAGGTGAGAGTTTGTAATCCCAGTCGGAGGCAGCGGCGGGGCGGGGATTTCTGGGGGGCATTTATTGCGTTACACGCCCTGCATCTGGTGGGACAGTTTATTGCGTTACACGTGGCGCAGCGTTGCTTTATTTTGTCCCCTGAGTTCTGGAGGCGAATGGCAGCATCTGTTGGACCAGAAGCTGCCCCTCATCTGATGGAATTATCTCATCCAAACCAAACACTTACTGTCAAGGAAAACCTGGGCAGCGTCGCGGCAAAACAAGTTTCTCTGAGACGTCTCGATAAAATTTTAACAAGGACACAAATATGTTCTTCATCTCGTCTTCATCACAGAAGAGAATTCATTGCACTCTGGGTTTGAACCCGGAGCTGCAGCAGCAGTTTGGATCCATCACTGAGAGGAATCGTTTGGAAAACTCTGCTCTCGTTTTAGCTGCTGTGGTTGATGAGGGATGATCTGTGTTGCTTGAGATACTCTTATTTTTTGTCTGTGCGTTTTTCCAGATTTTCCTCTGTGACGCTGCAACACAAACACACTGACATAAACACACTCTTTATCGCATAGTGTCTGTCAGTATCACACCAATAAAACCAAAGCAAGGCATGCTACTAGGGTTGCCACCCGTCCTGGTTTTCCCTGGATTCTTCTCTTTTTTGAGCGACTGTGTGTATTCTTTCCCGGGACAAGAATTCTAATTTAGAGTTTCATATTAAAACCTCAGTTTTTTCCTTGTACTACTTTTCCATTTTGTTCCTGGTTATGTCCATCGTGTGTCCGTAAACGTATGGTGCCCAATTTGCCTCATTACCTAGCAACTGCCGCCCATCCACACCCATGACCCCATGAATTGGGTGACCCAATAGCTGAGTGGTTAGGGTGCAAACCAAGTGGGCGTAGATGCCCTGAGCAGCGAGTTCCTGTTTCAACTTCCGGCTGACCGGACTCTTTGCTTCATATCATTCCCCTGCTCTGTCTCTGCATTCCCTGGCAATCTCTACTGTCCCGTCAAATAAAAGCAACAAAACTCAAACCCCGCCTGAGTGAAGCCAGAGGAAATCAGTTTATATTCAGCAAAAATGAATAAAGCGGGAAGAGTTCAGGGTGTTCAGAGTAAAAGTCACACACCCATAGTTTGATGGTGATGTGGTACAGTAGTATGGGTTGTCAGAAAGACCAGCAGCAGAGTACAGACTGAAAAGACTCATCACAGTCTAACAGAACATAACACTTCAGATCACCTCTGAGGTCCATCAGCCTCCAGGCAGACTGATGTTGACCTCCAGCTTCTGATAAAGCCGAAGGGAAACACACCAGAACCTAACAACAAGCATCAGTGGCACTACTTTGCTGACTTCATCATTTCACGCCCTGAATAATATTCCCATAATATCCCTATAGAGATTTAGAGTTTTCCATTAGAGCAGTGATGAGTCATATTTTCACTGTGATGTTTGGATGTGACCCGCCGCCACAGTGTGATCAGCTACATGAGGCTGGGGTCACACAGGGGAATATTTGACTGTCTGTCCGTCCACTGTATGTCAGCATGCACAGGAGTCCATTTCCCATCAGGCCTTTCAGTCACCTCAGAAATCCATGAGCTGTTTGCACTGTGGAAAAGTGGAAAATCCTTTTGAGCTTGTGTTTGCATCTAGAGTATTAGTTTCATTATTTCTTGATTTTATTACTCAAAGCAAAACCGACCTTACACAAACACAAGTCAGTTCATTTATAAACTTACATTATTTTAATAATATTTACACAATGTGGCTCTTCTTTGCTTTTTAATACGAAGACGAAACAACATTTTCATGAGACAGTTTTATGTGAAATTGTCTGTTTACATTTCTTTATAAGCTGTAATTATGGAGTTAGCAGTAGCTGTAGTACTATACTGTTGTAGTACATTAGGTGTATACTGGTTATAGTTTTGACTTTAGGTTGTGAATTAACTTTTAATGTTTTACATGTTTACATCACTCTTTGCAAGCAGGGAACTTTGACTCTTTTTTCTTCTTCTTTGTGATTTTATTTCTTTACTGTATTTCACCCAGAACCTGATATTTATTACAAACATACAGGAATCTGAAAACAACTGTTCACCAAATGATTCACTGATGAAAACTGTCTGTAAAATCAAGAAGAACCAGTCCAGCTCCAGCAATACCATGATCCTCCATCTTTCCCTCTCTGCAGAACATCCACGGCCATAAGGGTCCGATCACAGCGGTGTCGTTCGCGCCTGACGGCCGTTACCTAGCAACATACTCCAACGCTGACAGCCACATCTCCTTCTGGCAGGTAAATGACTCAAAAACAGATACATACTGAGTACATTTGTTTTTTTTTTGTCAAGACATAATTTCTCCTTCAGAAATCCAAAGTACATAAAAAAACAACCAACCAACCAATAGTTTCAGCTACAGAAACATGTCTTTACAGCTGTATCAACCATAACACTTTCATTTAGCATCAGTAAGTTGTACTTAGCAGCTGTACACAGACACTCACCAGTACAGATACATTTCCTACTGAGAGCTGAAGATGCTATTTGTTAGTTTTTGCTATAGCCAACGTTAGCATTAACAGCTGTTTACTAACCAGTCTTGCTGAGAGCTTCAGCTATCATTGTGTTACGATACAAAAGGTTATGATACGTCTTCTGAGCAGCTACCTCTTCAGGGCAGCCTGGACGTTACAGTGACTCGGTATCGGATAGTGATGAGACAGGCTAGCTGGTTAGCATGTAGAAGTTTGTTTGATGCTGAACCCGCAACATTTCATCTAGACTTTGTAAACAGCTTTTAATACAAACGCAAGCTGTGTAGCAATAGCAAAAGTCTTATCTTAGTCTTTAATCACCAAATACAAGTATATGTTTTTATAGTTTTATAGTTTAAAAAATATATTGCATTCCAATTTAAGTTTTGCATTAATTCATATCCAGTGAACACCCAGTGCTCAGAAAAAACATATATTTATTTATTATTTACCTATTTATTATGAAACATTTGTATGCTTCTTTATAATAATTAATTTTTAATAAATATTAAATAATAATAATAATAAAATTCAAATGAAAAAGTTCACATGCATAAAGAAACAACATCTAAATAAAAACTAATACAAAGTGATGCTACCGGTCACACAAATAAATACTATGCATGTACTCGCAGACAGACGTGTATTTCTTATCTTCTTCCCAGAACTGTTATTTTGAATGAAAGGTCTTTACGACCTCTGACACGACTGTCTGCAGACACACACACACACACACACACTAATGGCATTACTGTAAGCATAAACCGCTGCTAGCGCGCCGGCAAGACGGCTGCTGTGGTAATGAGCTGGCAGACGCTCTGTCGGTGTGTGTTTGTGTGTGTGTGTGTGTGAGAGAGAGAGAGAGGGAGGGGCAGTGTCGTCTCAGGAAATGATAGAGTTTCTCCTCGCTGTGTTTTTCCTACACACACACACACACACACACACACACACACACACACATTAGCTGTGTCCAGTCTCGGGCTCTGCCTTCTTCACGGATGCAGCGACAGAAGACTCATGGGTTAAACTCAGCGTTTCCTCAGAGGATTCAGCAGCTCCATCACTAACAGGAACTGGTGTGGAATGTTTTCTTACCAAAATGCTCATTAACTAATTTTTCACTGCAAGTATTGAAAGTACAGTTTGTATAGAATCTGTACTGAGAACCAAAAGAACAGGGATGAGGCAGGTAGAAACATTTCACTAGTGATTCCTCTGATCTGTCCGTTAATATTTGTTGTCAGTCTTACAAATAATGCAAGAGTTTGGTCTCAGTAAACTAAACCAGAAGATGTTAATACTATTGGCGCACATGAAAATGATTTGTTTAAATTTATATCCCTGAAAGCGTATTATTATCTTAGGGCCATGAGGTACTTCAGAATGGAAACTGATGCTGAAAGCAGGTTTATACTGCACTGAGCGGAGCCACAGGGCAAAAGTGAGTTAGATGCCCAAATTTGGCCCCTTCAACTCAGGTTCCCCAATATTGAATCAATGCAAATCTATTTAACAATATGCATCATGTAAGATAATATTAACTGAAATATGACTGATTTTAATACTGAATTCAACCCCAACTGACCCAGAATCAGTTAGGGTTGAACTAAACTTGACTTGATTTAAACTTCTGAATGTTTCATCATGTTTCTATAAAGCTTTTGCTAATGTGGTAAAATATATGCTGGTTCCAGTTTTTCCTGTGTGAGAATTTTCTGCTTTTTATAAAGTTTGAAAGACGTTGTTTTGAACCCTGGTAACTTCTGTTGGACCTGGTCAGTATTTTTGACCTTTAAACTGTTTAACCAGAAGAAATACTGATTATTGATTGATCAGTGGATAATGTATGTATCTGCAGCTTGATGTTTTGTTTGCCCTCCTCAGATGAACACCAGTCTGCTGGGGAGCATCGGGATGCTGAACTCGGCCCCTCAGCTCCGCTGCATTAAGACCTACCAGGTTCCTCCAGTGCAGCCGGCGTCCCCGGGCTCCCAGAATCACCTGAAGCTTGCCCGCCTCATCTGGACCTCCAACCGCAACGTCATCCTGATGGCCCATGACGGCAAGGAGCACCGCTTCATGGTCTAAACCACATCTGTATCTCCAGCTGTATCTCCGTTCTTTTATCTGACAGACCTGCAGCTTTTTAGTTTGTTGTTTTTCTCTGGAGCAGAATATGAAAAGCTGTAGCATGGATTGGTCACTTTAATTTTAGCTCCCAAAATGTATCCTGAGCTGCTGAGTCAATCGGTTAAGAGAGTGTAAAATGAAGGAGGCTGATAGTGAAGTTTCACGTGGTTTTAATTCAAAGGTTTGTCACTTGAAGTATTCAAACTGCAGAAGTCAAAACCGAGCTCAGGTCCAGGTTTGGACTGGGTGATTTTTTTTTTGGTTTATGTCCCATAGTGATAATTGTGAGTGAACTCACTTTAAAGGCCGTGATACAAGGCTTGTTTACATTTTAGACTGCATTGATGTATTTTTAGTCGTTTACACCTTCTTTTCATTCCTATTTATTTGCTGCATGTCACAGATCTTTTCTGTTGCTGCAGCCATTCTGGGTCCCACCTAGTTTTTAGTTTACTTCAGTGCTAATTACGAGAATCTTATTATTAAATGTTTAAAAGTTATTGCAGGCATTTCTGGATTTACTTTGCAGAAACACTGGACTGGGAAATGGATGTAACACAGTGACTGAAAAATGAATTGATCTTTGCCATTTTTTCCATTTTCTGCTCTTTATATTAAAGTTTGTTTGGGAGTGGACGAGTGAAACAGCATCTTTAGTTTTCACAACTGGAATGAATCATTTCTAGTTGACTGTTCTCCCTTTAAAGCTTTGGTACGCCCCAAACTCTCTAAGACAAGTACACACTTTTCACATTTGTGTGTCTGTGTATGTGTGTGAGCGCTTTGGTTCTTGCTTTTACTTTTGTGACACCTTGGAAGCTTTTCCATCCTCTCTGAGCTTCACACAGAAATGTGTGTGTATGTGTTTACACCCAAGTGTATTTTCACTGTTAAGCACACATTCTCACTTCAGACTGTTTATCCTAAAAGCATGGTTGCAGTAAACGTTTAGATGCTGGAGGTGCAGCTGTCAGTCACCACAGATATGTAAAAATTCACAGAAGAAAAATTCACACAAACTAAAACATATCGTTATTTTGGTCAGACTTAAAGTGGATGACAGCAACACTGAATAGTTCAGCAAAAGGGGTAGTGGGATGCATATAGTACATATGCTCCACAAAGAATGGCCTGCCACTGGCTGCCACTAGAATCAGCTTTATATCTTCAGATGCATCAGAAATGCAAACAAGAGACTTTAACTTTTTAGTTTAGTGGCTCCTTTTTACTAGGAACTATTCGGTCAGAAAGGTGCATGAGATATTTTGATAATTATCCAACATGAATTTTGTCATGTAGTCAGCCTTTGTGCATATCTCTTTGAGGTAGTTTTGTCCATCATCTTGTTTGCATTCAGCTTACTGTCTTCAGCCTGTCTGTTTTATTCAGTAACAGTTTCCATATTTCCCTGTGTCCACATGTTGGTCCAAAATCCCACTTCGCTCACTTCTTTCTGTCTCTCTCAGGATGTAAAAACTTTCCTGAAGGTTTGTATATTTGAAGGAAAACAGTGGCTGCCTATTTTCTTGCCTCATTTTACCCCTCACATGCTTTTCTTTTTGGGGGTGTTTCTTTGCAGACGATGACGCTTCGTAATAGACTAATAGATGTGAAGACTGCTCTTCTTCTTGCAGCTTTTCTCTTGTCATTCTTGCACCCACCTGACTTTTAGGAGGGTATCTCTAGATATAAATATGTACATAAACAGTTAGAACTGCTGTGTAATGTAACCTGGTGTTAATCTTCCTGTTTTGTGTATTTATTGTGGCTAACGTGACTGTCTGCCTGGCACTAACTAGTTCTTCAGATGAGATAATTTCTCTTCTACAGGCCAAAAAGTGGCAATGTCTTCTTATAACATTGACAATACCTGAAGAAATGTTACAGTATTCCATTTACATCTTATTCCATTATTACATGAGCAGTCAGTACTCATAGGTCTGACCACATCCATCATCAAACTCGGCCTTCATTTTGTGAGTTTTGTGACTATCTTTCACAGTTGTGACAGACGTATAAGCACCTGCCAAAAGTACTAAAACTGCCTCTGTGGTAGTTCCTGTTACAGTAGGTGTCTGCAAGACCGCATTTTGTCATGATGACACAAACACACAGACTCACAAGGTGAAAACAATAGCAGCCACATGTGTCATGGCTGGTCACAGTAGTTTATTTTACAGTTTAATATTCATTTTTCATGTTTCATGTGTTATAAAAGAAAACTGCAATTCTTCTCTTAAATGTTATTAACATTCCTTATTACCAACAGCAGGTACAATTAGTCAAGGGAGTATCCTGTTAGCATGGGGGCTAACCATACCCATGGCTACTTATGGGGAATGCTAACAGCTATAACAGCGTAATCTGTTTAAAGACAAACTGTTTTTGTAGATCTCCAGTGGTTTATCTTCTCATCTTGCTTCAGTGATGTAGGAGTGAACTCAGGGTGTGTCAGTACACCGTGATATCACTGTTTTTTTCTGATGCAACAGACATGTTTTTGCACATTATACCTTCACTGTCAGTCAGAACCTTCTTGCTTTAAAGTGTTGTTTTAGTGCTCAGAGTTGGAGTTTTATGCAGAGAAAGAAATATATATACATCTATGTATAGAGATTTGATATTTATAAAGTAACAGTTTGCTGTCATTGTCTACACCAAGGAGGTTATGTGTCAAATGTGTGTGTTTGTTGGTTGGTTTGTTTGTTTGTTTGTTTGTTAGCAGGATTACACAAAAAAGTACTGAACCGATATGCACCTAACTTGGTGGAGGGATGGGTCGCGGGCCAGGGAAGAACCCATTCACTTTTGGGGCATAGACGGGTCATTTACTATAAATTATAATTATGATTTTTTTTTCCTGTTAAATCTGGTTTAAGTTATTTGACATTGGCCTTGGTGGAGGTCTGGAGTCTACTGAACGCATTTTCAAGTTATCAGACTGCGGATAGATGTTTTTACTTTTGCTTTTTGTGACACTTGGAAGCAGCTCGCATACGTAGGAAGAGTTTGGTTTTAAGCACACTTCACTTGCTTTGCTTCCATCTTTTGAACCCTTTCCTCTCCTTTCCTCCTCCTCTCCTCTGTCCTCCCTCCTTTCCTTCCTCCATCTGTCAGTTTCATTAGTGCTGTCAGAAAGCTTCTAACACCGTTACACACCTGTAAACCCGAGCGTGTCAAAGCTTTTCACAAGTTCTTCCTCTCCTCAAAAAAAAATATCCAGCAGCTCGTCAGATGGGTTTTTGAAAACACACAGACACACACACACACACACACACACACACACACACACACACACACACAGACAAACACACACGTCAAGTCCCAGCCAGCTTTGGTACGCCAGGTCCAGACAGCTTTGAGATCTTGATTTTACATTTTCTCCACCACTCTTAACAGTTTGAGAAAATATGTTTTTGGCAGCCTCTCAGGGGAGGAAAGGTGAGAAAAATAAAGGAGGCAGAGAGGAAGAGCTGAAGAGTAAGTAACAAGCGAGGAAGATCAGGTCATCCACCCAGAAAAAGAAGGTTCTTTGGTGAAGGTAGTGAACCGAAATGTCTTCAAGAACCTTGTGGTTTTATCAAGTACATGAAAAACGTGATACAGCTACTGAGAATGTCTCCAAAAACAGTTTCACTTTTAGCATTTGATATATTCATAAAATGGATCTTAACAGCACTGTACAGAAGAGCTCTGTGACTGCATGAGAGAAACATTTGTATATTTTAGGTCCCTTTGTTTCTTCTGTTTTCTCTTTTCCTCCTTCCTTTTCTTGATTCCTGAACATGTGACGCAGCTTCTGCCTCTAACTGCAAACAAAGGATTTCCCTCAGTTATCAACATTTCCATTGTGTGATGATCAGCTGATTGTGGTTTAGAAAGTCTCTGCTTACTCAGTTTTCAACAGCAAATATTCATTTCTGAATTTCACACTAAATGTAATCAGCATTTTTTTTTCTTATTGATTTTGATGTGATTATATATTAATTGTTTATAAAGACAGTAGACTCAGTCTAAATATTTAAGAGAGTGTGTGTGTGTGTGTGTGTATGTGTGTGTGTGTGATGTAGTGCATGTATACAAGCTCCCCACAGTTGAATCTACTGTGCATCATAAAAACAACATGTGTTTAAATGTGTTGTTGTTGTTGTTGTGTCCAATAAAAATGAAAATGAGACCATCAGATATTCGTCCTCCATGTTTTATTCTTTTCTTTAAACTTAAATTTGCTGTAAACAAATAAGACGGCTTTGGGTGATGTCATGAAATAGTGTGGGATCATGGGAGTTGTTGTCTTCACCACCATTGCCTTAAGCCCCTCCCATTTTGGATTCCTTCAGTATCCTCTCTATAACAAACACACCAGGGGATTAAAACCAGTAGAAACACTGAATAAGGCAGAATCAGAGCTTCAGCGACGCTCTTCAGTGACACAGGACAGGACGTCTCCAGCAGCTGGGAGCTGAGCTGTCTAACATTTCCTCAGCTTGTTTCTCTGATAACTTCAGATCCAGACGTCCGACGACTAAAATCCTTCATCTGGTTCAAATATAGAGCTGAAAACCACCAAGGTGGAAAAAGTGTATGTGGCTTAAAACTAGATAAAAGTCAATGTTGAGCTTCTGTCAGACAAACACACTGACACATGATCATAGAGGATATGATGTCACTGACAGGCGACCAATGAAACGTTACCATGATTAAAATCACAGATTTCTCTGGTTTGAGAATTGATGGAAACATTTGAGATGATGTAAGAACACAACTCAACAACATATAGAACACAGGTCCAGTTGTTTTTAGACATTTTAATGTGTAATATAACTTTGAATATATAAACCAGCAGCAACAGACAGTTTGTATTCATCTAAAGTAAAAGTGCAATTTATTGCTCATTAATTCGTTGCCTGTTATTTATTCCTTCACAAATATACAGTACAGTCTTGTATTAATCATGCAGGTAGCCTGCAGCTACTTTGAAATACAACAGATGAGAGATTGCTGTAGCTGAACACAGTCAATTATCATGTTGTGGGCAACCAAGGTCTGATCTCACAGACATTCTTCACCTGTATGACATGTTGGAGGTGTGTTGTCCCTAGTCTGCAGTTGGCTGTAACTTTACTCCCTGCAGTATTTAAAACTCACCCTCTGTCAGAAAGGGCGTCTTGGTTTGCAGACACAGTTTTAATGATCAGTGGCAGTCAGCAATAGTCATTTCCTGTGGCTGCTTCACAATAAAAGCATCCTTGTGGTTAGGCAGTTTAATGCCAGGCAGTAGTAGGAAATGTTGTCTTTGCATTAGCAGTAACTTAATAGAGCTCTGATACAGCAGTAAACAGGGAGGCTGATAAAATTACAAACAGTAATGCTATGTAAACAATATGTAACATAATTACACACATGTATAGTTTCCTGTGTGTCCGTGCACATGAAAGCAATTTCACTCCAGCAAGGACATGGTGGAATCTGTCACTAGAAATAAAAACGACCTCATACCGAGAGATAATTATTGAAGGTGAACAAATTGAAGCAACATTGAAGAAAAAAACTTAGAATCAAACATGGGGATCAACTTTCAACTAAAAAGAGAGAAAAATTCAACCATAATATAAAAACCTACTCTAACTCTGCCTCTGTCTGACTAATTAAACACTCTCTCTTTCTCAGCATCATAATGAGAGCATGGTGGACCTGTTTTAACACATCTCTGATCACCGAGAGAAGATCAATCTCTTCCTTTAATCTCACAGCTCTTTAACTCTCTGACCGTCTCTGTTTGCATCCGTCTCATATTTGAACTGAGCTTCATGTTTTCATCTAATTCAATTTAAAAACATAAAACATGAAGTCAGTTCATAATTCAAAGGTAGGTAATGATTAAAGAGGGATTTGTACATGTAAAGTTAACTGTGCGCTCAATAATTCACTTTTAACTGCAGTATGAAATATTAACAGTGAAGCAGCAATGAAACAGACAGATCCTCAAACTTCTCTTTCTTTGTGTGTCTGATGCTTTAAACATTTTAAAATCTGCTTTCTAAAACTGTTCTTTTGAGTTTAGTCAGGTAAAACTAGTTGGTTATTGTTGGAGAACATTTGTGGTTATAGTTAAAAGAAAATGCGTTTGCATGAGGTGGTTTTTCAGTACAACAGAGTATTAGGGCCACATTGAGGAAAAAAAAAGAATGATGATGATGATGATGATGATGATGATGAAAAGCCAAAAGATGAAGTTTCTCCTTATAAGTGAAACCTCTGCTAAAGTAGAACTTCACAGGATGCTCCACGTTCCTCATTTTAAAGCTTCTGATGTTTCCCTCTAAATCAACATGGAACCTAAAATTACAGCTTTATTCTCATTATATTACGACTTTATTCTCAAAATTTCAGATTCAGATTTTTTCCTCAATGTGGCCCCAATACTCCATTGTATTTCAGATAAAACAATATTTCACTAAATTGAAATGGAAACACTTTTCTTGTTTTTTGCATTCATGTCGTGGCTCCTGCCACATGCAGCCCCAGGGAGCCAGGTCCAGAGGCAGACTGCTGGAAATCCATCATCATGTTTAACTGGAATGATAACGTAAGAGAGGAAAACCCAGCTTTAATCTCTCAATGGAAACCTAGACCAGTTATATTTGTCTTTTGTTGACTTTTCTAAATAAGATTGCTTCTATTCTCTTCTGGAAACAGACTTTGAACAAATGACCAGTGCTGTTGTTTCGTGTCTCAAATGATTGAACCTGTAAAATAATCACAACTTTTATCCGTTAGTCCACTGATTTCATGTTGTATTTGTAACAGATCAACCCTGCTGGTGGCTTTGACCTTTGACCTTCCAATCGCTCCATTCAGAAATGCTGACCATTTACCACACATACTTTTTTTTTTCTCTCTATCACTCTTTTGGTCTCTCTCGTACATACACAGGAACTCTTCTGGTCCCTGCTCTTCCCCTCTGTCTTCCATCAGTCCTCAGTATGAACACCATCAGGTATTGGCAGTATTGATCAGGAGCTATAATCTGCAGTCACAGCTCAACGTTTCTTCTCATTTTCTCACCTCCAACTTAAAGTCCTTCACACAGAGGCAGGAAACAACCTGAAGACCTTTGAAAAGTTTGAAAACTAACTTCAGGAAGAACTTGTACTTTGCTGTTCAGGTGCTTAAACCAGGGATAAAAAATCAGCCCCAGACTTTAAAATTGGACCAGTCCATCAAAACCCACCTGGATAAACACCAGCACCTGGATCGGTCTTGTCACAGAATTAAGACGAGAACAGAGATTTGATTTCTTAAAGTTCCTCTCCAGACATGTTTAGAAGTCTGTAAAAAATCCTCTGCTATGGTTCACATTTTGTTTAACATGGTTTTCACACATAAAAAGTGGAAAACAAAATCAAAATCTACTACTGTAAAGACATCTACCTGATTGAGAAATGTGGATCAGGCTTTGAGCCCCGCCCACCACCTGCTTGCTCCAGGTGTACAGGTGAAAGAGCAGAGAGTATCAAGATGGTTAGAGGAGGAGACATCAGATGTTTGAGCCTCAGTCAGACCCAGACTCAGATGAGGAGTCTGTTGAGACCAGAACCAGAGACTAGCAGACGGATCAGAACGGTTAGCAGGATTAGCATGATAAGGTTTATGATGATCCTCAGAGGGATCTTTCTTTGCTCAGGCCTCTGGTTCAGCACTGTGCACTTAGCAGGAGATCAGGGTGAC